TGAGGCGTTTCAAAGTACTCACGTCCTGATGAGGAGTGAAGATTCCGCCATTTAGGCAAATTTGGATCAGATGGTGTAATAGAATTATCATGATTCTGAGAGAAAAACGAATCGTGGTGCAGAGTAGGATGAAGTTGAGGGTGCATGTTTGAAGGGATTTGAGAAGCGTTTTGTTGTTGCCATCTAGCGGTACGTTGACCCATTGACTCGTAATGGGCTTCCCAAATGCCTGTACCGTTAGGAGGTTCACTGGTCCAAACTCCTGACTCAGGTAATGCGTCATCAGATGTCGGCATACTTGCGATTCCGCGTCTAATAAGCATAAGTTGTTGTGGTTGCAATGAGGGCTGATTAAAAGGCACAGGAGTTGTTGAAGCAGTTCTGCTTGACACAACAATCGAAGAAGTAGCACAAGTGGTCGAAATATCCCAGGGAATAGATTGATCTACAGGACGCGTACCCCAACCATCGTGTGTATTGATCAATTTCAAAACAGGATCATCGTCAAAAGCAAAGGAAGCGTTAGGCAAGGAAAAAGCAGTAGTGGGCGTCGGCAAATGCTCGTTGGCGCCATTGTTTCCTATAAATGCTTTAGTAGATCCTTCATTGTCGACAGCACCAGTAGCAATTGTGTTTGAGATACCTTTGCCTGTGCCTCCTAGAGACATACAAAAGACGTAATGACAATCCGCAAAAATTAAATGTGGGAAAATATAAGGGCTTACCTTCAGGAATAGACGGCTCACAAGATGTATTATTGCTACGATCTGCGACACTATTGCTCTCGGACCACTTAGTTTGATTTTCCAGTGAGTTCCAACCACTGGCTGACGTAGAAACTGTAGGAGTTTGGATTTTGCCGTTTTCAAGAGGTAGAGATACATCAAATTCAGTAGAAGTAATAGAGTAAGGAGAAATATCCGTGTCTTCAGAATGCCACACACCATAAGCACCAGCTAACTCTAACATAATTGAACTATTCTGTGGATTCGTCAAAGAAGCTTGTTTAGAAGTGTCCCAATGCTAAATAAAAAAACCATAACCATACAAAATAGCCATTCGGGATCAATTAAGAAAATTTCATAAACTAAACTTACCGAAAGAGATTCGGTTAGAGGAGCATCAGGA